CCCAAGGGTTTCTGCAGAGCCAGGGCCTGATGGAACGTGTGTGAGTCAATATTCTTGCACAGTTTTATTATGGGAGCTGTTCACAGTAATGGCTATACAACCCTCCTGCCTGGTGCCTTCTTTAAATAAAACTTCCCTTTCCCCCCAAGTCTCAAAAAAAAAAAAAAAAAGTAATTCAGCCTGGCACCCTGTCTCCTGGAAGGATACTGCTTTCCTTTCCAAAGAACCCCCCACGCCCCCACCTTTCCCCAGGTAAATGTGCAGCAGTAAGAACCATTAGATTGCCACTAATTCTTCATTTATTCTCCTGAAAGTCATCTGTGAACTCACGATGACACCCCGTCCTGTCAGGAATGACACAGTAGCTTGTACACACAATATACACTGGCAGTCTCATAACCACAGGTTTTTTAGCTCCATTTACTAAAACGGAACTTGGAACAAATAGGTTCAGGATTTCAAAATTTCACAACTAACTATATTCTGTTTTCTTCTCATGCATGGGTATAGCCAGGTTTTAATTCCTGCATCAGCGAAAGCACACTGCACTGGTGCAAGCATTTCAGTAACACTGAAACCTCAAGAAAATTAGCACCACTTTGGGTATCGTAAGTAACAATTTTAGTAACTAGTTTTCTAGTTTTTTGGCTGAAAAGTGGCTTGAAATAAGACACCTTGGAATAAGACTAGGATTCACATGAACACAGATATGCAAAGCCTGGTATCTTTTATGAAACAGTGCTTTTACATGTTACCTCCTAAACCGACATAACGACTAATAACTGTAGAAACAGATAATTGCTGTACCACTCCTTCCTTCCTCATCTTCAAACCCTCCTCCTCCCATAACAGAGGCATCCGTGACCCTATGAGCTGGTTCAGAGACCCAACCCAACCGAAAAGCAGCCCTATCCTTCCTTGAAAAATTACTTTTCCTGCCTCTTATCTCTGCCTGTTTTTTTTCAACTACCTCGCTGTGGGCCAAGCACTGAAAACTGAGGAACAGAATGTGTGGTTAGAGGCAGAGGAAAAAAAAAAAAACCCAAACGCTTCTTCCGTTAGGGTTAATTGCTGTCAAAACTGCAATGCCTAAATTATCACTTTGGCACTTCTCCTGCGAGGCAGCTCACCACCACAGCACCCACAGCCATAACCCACCTGCGCGACTGAGCTCGCCTGCACCCTGCACACTCAAGTCCAGAGAGTCCCAAAACACAAGTGAATCGACGCACCTACCAGCCTGGGTGGCTGTGAGACAGCACAGAAGATTCATCCTTACATACCACACACTCCCCGGCAGAAGAATGCATCTGCTAGAATGATTTGATACACTTAACGTATGGAAGGCACCCTCAAATCTCATCGAGAAAGTGAGGGACAAATCAATCATGCTAAAATAATCACAGAACTCCAGGTCAAACCTGACAGGAGGGGAAATGACAGAGTTCAGTCACCCGGGCAACCCTGACGTATTTCCTTTCGCCGTGTTAAGCAACTCAAAGCAGAAAGATACAGACATTAACTTTTTAGATACTCAGCTTCAGCAGCGTGGGAGGATCCCAGTTGGTCTGCACACCTGCAATCCACACCAGGTCTCAGCTCTGCAACACCTTTGACTGTAAGGAATCATGACCTGAAGGAAGAGGCATAGGCAGGAATCCTTCAAATCCTTAGAGATCTCTTCAACAACTAGCCAGGGGTGGTTACTGCTCTTTATTCAGATATCTTACAGAGGTTCTTATGGCTGTACATTTAGTACTGTGGCGAAAAAACCCACCAGTCTGTGTCTCTAACCCATCACAGATCAAAGACGATTCCTATAAACCACATACAGACCAAACCATTCTGAAATTAATGACAGATATTAGGCAAAAAATTAAAGTTTGGCTAGAGACATTTATTGTACACTGAAGGGTGGACCATTCACTAGGTCCCAATCACTGTGTGTACAAGCTAGGATACATGGACCGGCCATAGAAATGAAGCTAGCAGCATACAGAAACTATTTCCTAAATATCAACATTAAATCTTCTCCTTTGATAAAATCTCCTAGCCCTATTTAAAGAACAGGCACACTCCTCACCATTGTACCAGGCCTGCCCCCATGCCAGCATCAGTCCTGCTGTGGACCCTGCCCAGCACCCAACACCGCTTCGGGCTCAGGACGGGGAATTAGCCATGGGAGCTGGCAGCACAACCAAGCAATTATCCTGCCCCGTCAGCCTCCTGGACAACTGCCATAGGCACCGAGATACTATGGAAAAATGCACGAGTGGGTCATAGAGAAGACAGAATGCCAGCAACAGCCCTTCCAGGGGACTATACAGCTTTGTAGGTAAGGCCGAGGTGATCCACCATAAAACTGAAGTTTTACTCAGAGAAGGTCAGAACATTCAGGATGGTTTGTTCAGACTTTAAGGTTCCTTGCAGTAAAAACAAGCTCAAACTCACCCCCCTGCGATGTACTTGCTTCGAAGGACCGATGTGTCTGGAGTAGGAGGCTCTTGTGCCCTGCCCAAAGGAGCTCGTCCATGCAGCAGCGGTGCATGAAGTGTGCCAGCTGAGCGCTCAGGGCCGACCACCAGCTATGCTGAGAAAGACATCAGAAAGAGCAGCTATCCTTGAAAATTTTGTGCTTGCCCACTGTCCTGGTTTGAGTAAATGCTTGCGAAAACCGCACTTTTAGAAGACTCCAGTGTCTGAATTTGTGAAAGTATTTACTCCATAGCCAGCGATGGTGTGCGGGTTTCAAGGTCTCAGTGTTTCCGAGCTCGCTGGGTGTGGGGATGAGGAGGAGCGAGACCTGAGCACTGGAGCCAAACTGGCCAACAGGGTTAGGTCATACCATGAACAGCACATTCCATAGAAATCAGAAGTTTGCTGATGAGTTCTCTCCTGTGACGGCTGCCATCCTGAGAACTCCTTGCCCCGGTGCCAGAGCCCTGAGCCCATCCCTTCCTCCCAAAGCTGCAGCGCTGGCAGTGTCCCACATTGGCTGTCACTGCTGGGGGTGCACGGCGCCCACGGATAGAACGGGCTGGGTATAGTCTTTGTGTATTTTATACTGGTATTGGGATCAATATTGGTTCTTTAGTGTTATTCATGTTAATTACTTAGTCTTACCCTATTAAATCTGTTTATATTTCAACCCTCGTGTTTCTTTGTTTTTCCCCAATTCCCCTTCCCAGATGCGGAGGGGTCATTGGGTGAGAGAATAATTGTCTAAATGACAATAAATTGTTGTGGGTTTCTCAAACCGTAATATGCACATTTGGCTAGATTTTCAACCACTGCTCCCTAATGTCAGGGAGCTCCCGGGAAACATCAAGTTTCTATTACAAACCACAGAGGCACCAGATTTCTTCACAAAAAGTCTCTCTAAAGAATGAGTGACATTAAAAAAGTAAAATAAAATATGCAATTACTGCAGCTGCCTGTAGCACACTCTCACTGCCTCGGAGGCATACAAAGAACATGGTCACATCCCAGCACAGGGCCATGTTCCAAAGCCAGGCCTATAATTGTGCCGAATTATCATTTGCCATGGCATTCCT